TTCAAAATTACTGAAAGAGGGGAAAAAGGGGAGGGAAGAAAGAAAGAACGTGGGGTGGAGATAACAGTGTCTGCAGTGCAGGGGAGCAGGAAAATCATGGAGGTGGCAGACTAATTTCAGCCTGTTGGCTCTTAGACGTAAATAAATTTGAAGCGTAGTTTTGGAAATAAATCCGTAATATTGCCCTATATGGCTGTATACATGCAAAAAAGCTGGGTAATCCATGTAATTTACAGACAGTCCATACAACTAGACATGTATGGTCTTTATCTACATGAAAATCTAAAACAACCCAAAATGCTGTCACAGCAAAAATGCCAGTGTTAATTTAACACCCACAGTGTTAATGTCAACACCAACAAAGTGTCTATATGTGTCCACACTCGCTGGTGTTAAAATAACATTTGCGAAAGTGTTAAATTTTAACACCCATTTTTTGTTAATTTAACACCAACCAGTGTTCAATATTAAACAATACTGGGTGTCACATTAACATTTCAACAGTGTTAAAATATAGTGTTAAAAGAGACACCAGTGGATTATTATTAACAAAAGAAATTATGGTGTTAAGAAGGCTAACTGACACCATAAGGTGTCAATACACCTTAAATTTGAGTGTAAATTTAACACTCAGAGTTAAGATCAAACTYTTTGTAGTGTTGTATTAACACAGCTCAGTAGTTAGTAGAAAATTATAATGGAGTCACCCTTCACACACCTGGGGTTTCATTTATAAAGGATTGTGTGGAAACCATACTAAAAGTGAACGTACGGCCAAAAGGCGGAAATGGCGTATACCCAAAAAAAATTCAGATTTATAAAACCGTACGTATGCACGTTTCTGCGCACGTTTCCTTTATAAGTCACAGCCACACGTCAGAGTTTGCGCACGAGGTCCCGCCTCAGGTTATACCCTCTACACGCCCACATTGATCCATAAACAGTCAATGTAAAGTACTTCATGAATGTTAAGATGTATTTAAATCAGTCAGCTGATCAGTGTCAACAAAAGTGATTGGTTCAGACGCGCTCTGTCGTGTGTCTGGAGGTTGACAGGTGCTGACTGACAGCTGCTCACGTGAACAGAATGTCTGTAATTGACACAGATTTTCCCTCATTTTGCTTCAGAGTAATCTAACGATTTTTATAAAAAAAACTCAGCTTCAAATTAATTCTCCATCAGAGCCTGCAGGACGATAAAAACAATAAAAATAAAATTGAATAAGTCAGATAAAATTAGAAATAAGT